TCAGTAAAAGAAAGAAACAACAAAGAGAAGAACAAGCCAAAGAACTCATAAGATTATACCTAGGAGGAATCCCTGAGATGGTGTCTCATCCCATCTCGCAAAATTGAATATAAATAGCCCAACGTACACGCTGAAATAATTGGCAGGGGATTATTAAGGGAAGAATCCATAAGCTCAAGACGAGCAATCAGAGAAAACGTTTCAATCATACCGGGAAATCTGCACATCTGATACGCAACGCCTAGAATCTGGAAATCTGAGGTTGATAGTATTTAGAACCACAACAATTTGATAGTATTTAGAACCACAACAAAAAACAAGACAGTAAAACGCAATTGCCTTAACTCAAAACACGACCTAGAGTCTGACCTAAAAATTAAAATCCAACGGATTGTAACGCAAATTTGATTGTCAAACACTAAAGTTAAAAGTCAACCTAGAACCTAACCCAAAACCAAACCCAAAATCAGGTCCAATCCCCAAAGTAAGAAACAAAATCCCTACCCAGAACCTAACCCAATAACCAATTGCAGGGGTGCATTAAGCTATTCCCATGTTTAGAAATTGTGAATAAGTACAAAAGGAATGAACATGACATTAACAGGCTTTAAGAATGAAGACCAACCATTGTGTGTGGCGTTTGACAGGGTAAATATAGCCGCTTTAGTGGAATCTGAATGTCACATGGCCTTAAGCACCTATTTGTAATAGCCGGTTTAGTTCATACTAAGACAATTCTTTTTTGGGAGATATCAGACAAAAAGAGGAAAACCAATACCGGTACATGGTGAAATTTCCATTTTGTTGATCGGTGGAGGCGTTGAAATTTCCATTTTGTTGAAAGTACCGCCAAGCTCCAGCCAATAGAGAAGACTCGGCATGAACCCTGTCATCAAATAGGACATGGAAGAGGTTAAATGTTTTAGTCTACAAAAACATTATCTATATATATATATATATATATATATATATATATATATATATATTAAAAGCAAAATTTTTATTCAAATAAGAAAAAAGAAAGGTACAGCGGAGGGGAGTACTAGGCCAAAGCCCCTCTAGAAATGCATGGAAAAAAAAATGAATGAGAAGTGAATCGAAAGAACTACAGATGGTCATTCCCAAATTATAAAACCCGGGTGCTGATCCAAGGCAAGGTTTCTGGGCATTATTTTCTTTGGCATTTTCCCATCTGCCCCAATTGGGCCGACGGGTCCAACATACCAAAAGGGCCCAGAATAACTTTTGGTGGTGACAATTTTCTCCATTGTGGTTGATTTGCGGCTGGGCCAGTATCTAGTGATCTCGCTCACCGTTCCAACTTCAAGATTTGGATCGTAGGTTCTAGTTTTAATCGTCCTTGGTGCTGTTCCCCTCTTCCCCGCTTTTTTGCTGCGTCTGTTCTGGACATCTTGGAAGTCGTTAGGGTCCTCCCTTAGGTTACTTGTCTCCGCTTCTTCATAGGACCTGATTTCATAGTGCTGTCCGTCCACCTCAAAAGATTGAAGAACAGGGCCGATAGTAGTTTGGTCATTACCTGCATTGTTAGTTACTGGTGGGAAAAAACTTGTGCTAAAAGAAGGATCAGAAATAGTTTCATCATCTCCTTTGATAGAAGGGGATAGCGTGCCATCCATCTCTTTCTCGAGGGAAAGAGTGTGTGCATCACTATTATAATTTTGGGCTGGAAAATCCTCCGTTGTTGTAGTTAAGGGAGGGAATTCTTCTTCGTACTGTGTGCCTTCCAAATCTGTCTTGGGGGACAGTTTGTGTGCCACACAGCTTTGTACAATCTCGGAATTAGGGTCGGTGTAAGTTGGATTTTGGATGGTCTCCTGAGCATCCTCACCAACACAGATTTGTTCAAGCTCTACCAACGCAACTTTGACTTCAGCACTGCCAGCTGGCTCGGGAGCCTTAGCATCCCTACCATTAACAATGGTGGTTGCCAAAGCTTCAACTCTTGCCATATTTGTATACGTGTCGCTTGCAGATTGTACCTCATGATCTATTTCAAGGGTTTCAGCTCCAGGTTCTAGTATCTGTTCTAGATTAATTGCCTCAGATTTTTGATCAGATTGAATCAAATTTGTTTCAACCTGGGCAGGAGAATTTGTTTCTACAGAAGTGGTATCATTTTCATTAGCACCATCCTGATTCTGACTATCAACTTGTTTTGCCACAAGTTTTAAGGTGGTGTCCACCGTTTGCAACAGAGGGACGGCTACAGCAAGAGCTGTATTCCTAGTCCCTGGCAATTCCTTCACCAACAGTGGATTTTGTGGCTTTTTTGCAGTTTTTGTGTCCAAAGGATTTGCAAGAGGGGCAGCATTCAGGGAGATCTTCATAGTGGATAGGTTGATGAAAAGTAAGTTGTCCAAGATGTATCCAGACACCATGGGGCAGTTCCTCACTGGTATCAACCTCAACACAAATACGTGCAACAGATGGCCTTGACAGGCTTGCTGTTGCAGCATCAGTTTTCAGTGGTTTACCAATCAAATTGGTAATGGAATATAAAGCCAGAAAATCAAAAAATTGAATGGGAAGACCTTCAAGACTAATCCAAACTGGAATCAATGGGGAATCAATATTTGGATCAAAATCATGAGTCCAACGGAACACTTTCAAAATAAAGCCATTAATCTTCCAGTATTTTTGCAGCAAGCATCGCAGAAAGTCATTCTCAGATTCGAAATTAATTAAGATGTGAGATTCATCTAGCAAACTTACAATAAACTCCTTTTCAAAAGCAATTCGTTCAAAGGCCTTACGGATTGAGATTAGGCATGGTCTACCCTTGGTGAATCGACCCACGATTGTGCGAACAAACATAGCAGCAAATTGTTGATTTCTTCATCTGAGAAGGATATAGCCAGTTGGCCTTTGTATTTCGTCGCTGGTTTGTAGTCGCCCTTGATAGCTATGTCGTTGAAGCTTCGAGGATGAGGGAGAGTGGTGGCCATTGCTAGAAGATGGTCGCCGGCCCGCCATAGTGGCGGTTGGCGGAAACCTAGCCGAGGAGAAATCTAGAGGGAGAGAGCATTATATATATATATATATATATATATATATATATATATATATATATATATATATATATAAGAGGTAAAATCATTTCATTGTTTAAAATAAAATAATATAATAGATATAGTACATTTTTTTGATATTTTAATTTTACTTAAAGAAAAATGCAAGTGTTAATATGAACTTAAATTTTGTTTAAAATCAAAGTTTTAACCCGTTGGGTCGACCCAAACCGAATGATAATGGTGATGAACATATAGTTCTCTACTTGAACCCACATTGACCCGAACATTAAGTAGTATGAACCCGAAGTAACCTGAAATTTTAAAAAATGAAGTCCAGTTAATGGGCCAACCCAGAGTCCGAGACCCAATTATAAGAGGAGGCTGTGGTGTTAATATTCCTTACCTTACGTCTTATACAAGTGAATATGATGATCTTGCAAATCTTCAACTAAACAAACCATTTGAACACAACACCAATGGCAAATCTTCAAAGAAAAAGTGTAGTTTTAATATTTTAAAAAAATCAGACTTTGAACTGTTTGCTAATGAGTCAAATGAAGAGTCCACTTTTTATAAAGCAAAAAAATAATATTAAAGAACATACCTTTTGTTTTTCAAAACCCACAAACCCTGGCACACTGGGCAATAGATATTCAAACATTGTCAAGGCTGCAAACATGCCTACTGGGATGTATTCCCTGCCAAATTACAACTAAGATCAATTAGGCACCAAAATGTCCTAAACCATGAACAAAGCTCACTCAGAATGGAATAAATTTTACATGAGGAACCATATACAACCTACCACTGCATTTTTTTTCTTTTTATTTATATACCAGAGTGCAGTAGCATAAATTATGAACTTTCATTAATGAAGGGCATATAGAAGCAAAATCCAAAGCTGCAGCATGAGTTCTCGTAGAATCCATTTCTCACTTCCAAAACCTATAAACATGAGGAATCATAAATCAAAGTTAAAAGATATGGTTACTATTAATAGGAAGACATATAAATAAATTAACACTTGTAAAAATGCTAATAGGTCATGTGGTATACTATACAAAATTAGACCTGTATACTGTGGGCTATAAGATTCCATGAGGTCAATTCTTACTCTTATTTTCATTTCTCTTTAATATTATTATCTTAATCTCCCCCTAAATAAAATTCACTTATAACATTCACACATTAAATGATTAAAAGGGGT